ATTCTGTTTAACCTTTAGTACCCATAAATAAACAGTGAATCCACTCTAAGTCTGATCCAGTGAATCCTGAGAACCATCTCCACATATTTAATTTAATTTAGAAGTTTCCAAAAATGGAGCTCACTCTTTAAAGTCATACTGTTGGTTGCAAATTATGCCATTGGTGTTTTATAGGACTTCAGGTTGTTTCTCTTATCTGTTTTGAAAATTATTCTGTATTCAAGAAAAAAAAGAAAAATATACCTATATTATAAAATTAAAGTCCTTTTATTTGGTGATATACCTATAAAAGAATCTTACAGATTTAGCATTCTTTTGCAGTGACTATATTATACAAAATACCAGTTTTACTAAGTTTACAATTTTAAAGAAAATACCACTGTATATTTTTAAGAGGATAGTCTGCCCTTGACATTAAATGGAAAATGGTATATTAGATAGTTTTAGAGCCATTGAGTTGTAATCATAAATTATATTGACTTTACTACATTTTTTTTTCTGACCTGATCTGGAAAGAAACAGATCAATGAAGGAAAATACTTGGATGTCTATAAAACCAGGCTTCATGTATTCTCTCACATTTTATATTTTCCAGTGAGGAATAGTATGGTTCAAATATAGCAATAAATGTTAAGAATATATCTTATTATGAATGATGTAGTTTTGGGAGACACTACTCTTTTACAGGTAACTGTTTAAGACAGATAATTGCATTCAAGGCAATAGAATATAATACATTCTGTTGTCTCTGAACTTCTAAATGAAATTATGAAAACTAAATTATACGTTTTTAAATAAATGAGCCGTTCATTTGTGATTCAGAATCTTTATTATATTAGTCTCTATGAATAGTGGGAGAATATGTTTCATTATAGTATCTCCAAATCACGGAATAAGGTAAATTATCAGTTGATTACATCTTTCTAATCTAAGCTTGGAATTGGCACTTGAAGTGCCCTCTCTTTTATATTTTTGGGGTCCCATCCCTTTTTAAAATAAAGGCAAATGACAACAAACAATACTCCTGAAACAGATAAGGGATGACAAAGTATTCTAGATCCCTTGGCGTTTGACCCTTATGATCTTGTTAACAGTGTCACATCTCAGCCTTTTAAGAGGTTACTCTGACTCACATGTAAAAAGAAACACTTTCTTTCAGCAATATAGCTTAGTTGTCAATATTATATCCTACTATCCTCTATCCCAATAGCCAGCTGTATATCCTAGGGAGGATATACAACAATTTTAAAAAGCAACTTAAGTAGCTATATCCTTTTTATCTAAACGGCCCTCATAAGAGTTGAAGCATTAACTCTCAAGAAAAAAATGGGCATCTAGGGCACCGGGGTGGCTCAGTCAGTTAAGCGACTGCCTTCGGCTCAGGTCCTGATCCTGGAGTCCTGGGATCGAGTCCTGCGTCGGGCTCCCTGCTCAGCGGGAGTCTGCTTCTCCCTCTGACCCTCTTCCCTCTCGTGCTCTCTATCTCTCATTCTCTCTCTCTCAAATAAATAAATAAAATCTTTAAAAAAAAGAAAAAGAAAAAATGGGCATCTATCCTACACCCACTAATATCTAGAGATCATCAAAATTTTGGAGAGTAGGAAATGTGTAAGTAGTGTTAACTTTTTGGATTAGGTTTGTTTTATGAAGCAAAGTGTTAATTGTACACAACATAGTGAGTGGTAAATGTCTCAGACCCATTAAATCGTAATTAATAGAAAATATCTACAAAAGTAAATAGGTGATGGGGATTAAAGGAGTGTACTTGCTGTGAAGAGCACCAGGTGATGTATGGAAGTGTTGAATAGCTAAACTGTATACCTGAAACTAATTTTACACTGTATGTTAACTGAATATAAATAAAAACTTAAAAAAAAAGTCCTTACATGGTAAAAGTGGACAGGGGATAACAAAACGAATTGATTGAAAATATGCAAAGTAAACAGTCAAGGAAAAAAAGAAAACAAGGCCATTATTATAACTAAACTTTTAGACAATGATTTATTTTTGTTTTTCTTAAATTTAACAAAGTTTTATTTCAAAGGAAATATAAATACATGGTATAAAATTAGAAAATGCCCATTAAATGGTAAAAATACAAAAATAAGAGCACTATGGTCATACTATCCAAAGACAAGTATTGTTTAGTGTCTTACTGTATATTCTAGATCTTCTTATGCACATACATGTGCGTGTATGGATTTTTCTCTCATTGAGATTCTACTGTTTCTAACCCAATCTTTTAAATTTCTAGCCTGCATCTTTCTGTGGCAGTACATTTTTATCTCACCTACTACTTAATCCATAATCAAACTTCTCAAGTTACCTAAAAAATGTCTATACAAATGGTTGTCCAAATTAAGGTCCAGTCCAGGATTGCATTTCACATCTTGTTGTTATGACTAGTAAGTCTTCTTAATCAAAGCCAGTACCTTATTTTTCATATTCACTTATTAAAGGGAACATATAAGTTGTCTTATGGAATATCCCCCCTTCTCAATTAACTGGTTGCTTACTTATGGTTTATGATTTATTTTTCAAGAATAAATTCTACTGAAATATGAAGAATTTGACCACTTAAAATGTACAACAAAACATTTGTGTACGATTTTTAGGTGTAGAAGCTCTCATTCTTTACCTCTGCGGATTGTTTGTACCTCTACCACCCTTGCAGAGGGGTAAGAGAAGAAAAATGGTAAAGAAATGCAATTCAACCAAGGAACTGCTATGGGAAAGTATTGAATGTAATTGCTAACTAGAAAAACATAGAAATTACTGTCTATTGAGTTTTTGAGTGTTTTATGTGCATTGCTGCAACGTAAGTAGTAATGACATGACAATTGATAGCTACCCAAATTAAATGGAAAGAATGGAGGCAGAAGACTTATTTTGTTCTATTAGGAATGATTCTTAAAATAGAAAACAAACAAAAACAAAATAGAGCATTTTCTGTTAATTTACAGTGACATTGACATATATTTTCATAAATTCATGCCACTTATTCTTTTGCAAAATAGATAAGCAGGGGAAGTTTAGAGTTTAGTTCAAATGTACAATTAATAAAATGTTGGGCACTATTCTCAGAAATACATAAATCCTTTGCAATAAAAATATCGGGTTGAAGAAAAAAAATACAACCCTTTGTATAGTAATGGCTTTTTCAGGGATATGTTAGGCACCTGAACTGGAAAGTATGCCTTGAACTGAAAACTTAAAACATTTTTTTGAAATACATATTTAACTGCCATGCTCAAAAATACGATCTTACACACGCCAAAACACATCACAATGATGAGTTTGTGTCCATACTACAGTTTAATTTTCTCAGCATAGATTTTTATATCTTTATAAAGTTCCATTTAGGAAAATCTGGTTGAATTATAGCAACATTCCAGTATGCTATAGTACTTTTGGCTGTCAGGAAACAACCTTTAGGATGAAATACTTCTTAAGGTTTTTCTGTAGCTTTATATGGCAATATAAGAGTCATAATCTTTAAAAGACATGGCTTCATTTATAGAAGTGACACAGATTTTTTTCAAGAGCTCTTTAAAATTTAAAATTTTTATTTAGGATCATCCACTATCATTATTTCTGATGTGTCTTTGAGCAAAAGTTTATTTTGCAAGGGCAAGTAGTTTTTTTTTTTTTTCCTAAAAGAATGTAGCTGTACAGGGTAGATTCTTCTGCAAATAGGAATATAAAGTATAAAATACTTTACTATGGAAAGCACGGACATTCAGGAAGTTCTTTTTTAGTTTTCATTTCTGCCATGGCTTCATGGTCAAATATGTATTAGGTAACACCTATGTGTTTTACTCTGGGCTATTTGCTATGACATATGAAATTAATATACGTCAGGGCTCTGACCACAGAAAGCTCATACATACTATTCTACTCTAGAAAAAGAAGTTAAGACTATAAATACTACTTTTCAGGCAAGGAAAACATTTATCTTTGAACATAATAAGTGATTAGTTTCAAAATTATATCTTAGGTAACAATGTATTAGAGAAACACTTTAATAATAGAAATCTCTTGTGAATCTCTTCCAACCCCCTTTTAATGTAATACTTAATGTGTAGACCTCTTTTATGGGTATATGATGCTTCGGCACACTTTTGATAAGCATAATTACTCCTGTCATTATAACTCTGAAAACCTGTCTGACCCAATTCTTTACCTTTTTCCCGCCCTTTGTCCCAGCAGAATTGCCTAGCCAGCGTTTGAAACAGCACTTTCAAGACATCTCTCTTATTGGTACCCTAATGCTCCAGAGGTGTGGGGTCCATATATCTCCAGACCATGCATTTTTGCTTTAGAGCAGTAGTCCTCAAGATAGGGGGCATGGGCTGGGGGGTGACTTTGGCAGACATTTGACAGTATCTAGAGAAACTGCTGTGACTAGAGGATGGGGTGCTACTGGCATCTAGTGGATGGAGGCTAAGGATGTTGATAAATACCCCAAAATGCATAAGGCAGTCCCCCACAGCAAACAAGTATCCAGCCCAAAATGTCAATAGTGCCACTGTTGAGAAAGCCTACTTTAGAGAAAATGTTGAAAATAATATTATATACCACAACAATGTTATTAAAATATATTTCCATCTATTTAGAGAAAAAGTAAAATGAAAATAATTTTAAATGCTTGTATATCAACATTTAGGCAGGTGTTCTTCATTCTGTTACCAAGTGTTATTTTGTTGCTGCTGTTGTTGTTGTTGTTGAATGGCATGCTGTGGCCACTCATCTCCAAAGATTAGTTGTATGTGCATGGTTTATTATTTAAAAAACAAAGCAAAACAAAAAGCGGGAATAGTTTTTATTCCCCCAAAAATTTTGTAATGGCTCTAATGCATTTTTTATTTGTATTTCTTCTAACTGACTAGACCTGTGATATGTGGATAATGTATTTATTGCACAACTGCTCTTTTTCTCTCTCTGTCTTGTCTCTCTTCTTACTCTTTTTTTTTCTTCTTCTTTTTCATTCTGGTGGGCAGAACTCCCCTAATTGCAGCGGGAGTCATCGGCGGGCTCTTCATCCTGGTCATCGTGGGTCTAACATTTGCAGTTTATGTTAGAAGGAAGAGCATCAAAAAGAAAAGAGCATTAAGAAGATTTCTGGAAACAGAGGTGTGGTGTTTATTTGTTCTCCATGTGTTTAGGGACTTTCATTAAGTTTAGAAGGTTTAGATGATACTCGGTTTTTTAATCCAAGTGAAAACTCTGTTCAATTTCCTGCTGAGAGTTTATAGTTCGTAGTATGTTATAGAGTTGATGAAGAGTCAAAGAGTATATAGTAAAAGTAGTCAAGGCAGTTTCATGGCTTAAAGAGGACAAATGGCAGAGGTCAAGAAGATTATCTGATTGAATGACAGATCTTATTGAAAAGACATACCTGTTTCTTTTGGAGGAGGAATCCCACTAGAGTTCTAGGATATTACAGTAGCAGAACTAGAAAACATCTGGGGAGAGAATATCTCAACAGCAGAACTAGAAAAATGTTAAAAGAATTTTTCTGATTCAAAATAAAGCAAGATAGGCAAGCAATTTATGCTTTAATTAGGGTCATTAAATTGGTAGCCACTGATCTCATTATACCAACAGTGAAAAGCTGAGTTTACAGGATAAACCTTCCTATTGTAATCACACAGACCTTACCACACAATTTACGGGAAGTATTTAATGTTATGCATGTTAGTTATTGGGAATACGTAAATTACCCACAAATTATTACAATTTCTCTTATATTGCCACACTGAGTTCACTGGCATGCAAGGTGATAGTTTTCACTGTATAGGTTACAGAGGAAAAACAATTACAGAAAACTGCATTGCCAGATCCTTCTCAACTTGCACCTTACCTTCTTCCTCCTGATACACACATCCAAGGCTGTCTGAACAGCTCAAAGCAATTCTGTACTGAGACTTAGCCTTCTCTGGATCTGTTTTTTTTTGTTTTTGTTTGTTTGTTTGTTTGTTTGTTTTTTGCTCATTGTCAGTGTGACAGTTTGACTTTTCCTCTTAACACAGACAGGAATGAGAATATTCATTCATAAATTTTGCAAACTGATAATGAATTAAATTTTAGCTCTCTTCCTCCAAAAGTTGAAACTAGATAGAAGAATCATGTGCAATGTTCTGGAAGCTATTTTAATTCCATGCAGGAGAGAATGTCTAAGAATTGGAGTTGTCTAAAATTAGAACGGGTTGTTTTATCGATAGAGATGTTCAAGCATAAGATAGGTAGTCAGTTATATACATGAGAAAAAATAGTAGTAATTTTTACTTGAGCTGGATGTTTACAAAAGATCAATTTGATCATTTTCAACCTTGCACATGTGAATACAGGTGTGGACACAACACATGTGCTGTGCATATTTTCAGTTTAGCAAGGATGCTGGAGGCAGATAGAATTCTCCCTCATGGCCAGCTTGGGGCAGTCGTGGAGAAAATTCTAAGAAGTGAAGTAAATTAGAATTGGAGAGGAACTGAAGGCTTGGGACAGCAGTGGACTTTTAGGTGATTGAATAAATAGGAAAGGAATCTGTCCCTTAACCACATGCAAAAAAGTCTCATTGCTATAAAAATAATCATTTTGTTTGTTTTCTTTTTTAATACAGTGCTTTCTAGGAATGTCCTTCAAATTGATATTTCATTACTAAATAAACACATACTGATTGGTTTTAGAAGCAGACTCTAATTTTTATAAAAAGTTATAGCTTACCACTAAATTAGATAATTGTAAAATCCCCATCTTTCTCTCAGTAAAAGTAAATAACTGTGATTTTCTATCATCTAAACAGAAGAGGAATTCTTGAGGATCAACTCAAATCCTTAAATACTAAAACTAGAAATTTGTCTCAGATGTGAAAAACTTGTTAAAGCAAGATATATTGTTGGAATGTACTTAGAGTTAATATGCTTTTCCAGAATCATATTGCTCCAGATTGTCTGTCTTCTGTTGCATGCATAAAAGTAGAAAATGTTTTTTTTCCCAACATACTCTTACGAGATGCACTGTAAGCTTGATGCTTTGATAGATACTGCGATTAGAAAATGTTAATGGGACGTGATCATATCCCTTGAAGAGTGACAGATTCAGTGCCTACAATATGGCAGGCAATGTTCCAAAGTTTTCCAGCTATGCTACATCCCATTTCATCCCTTGACAATCTTCTGTGGAATTATTGCTGTACCTATTTCACAGGTGTGAGATGAGGGGGTAGGAGGGGTCCATCTGCTTTCTCACCTGTAAGTGGCAGCACTAGTGTGCAAACCTACGATTTTAAACTTGACGCTCTTTCTGCCATACTGGCTTGCAAAATGAAACAATGCTTCTTTCAAAGGTATCATTCTCAAATTCCCGGAAAAATGTGTTTGTATACATTTTGAAGTGATATCTGAGAAAATTGCAGGAGACTAAACATTTCAGGTAGAATTGTGAAGTTTTCAAAATCTGGAATTATGGCATATTATATGCCAAAGCATATATTTTAAAAGTACATAGCCCCAAAGGCTGAAATCTAGTCCCCAATTTTGCATATGATTTTTATATAATTTGTTATGTGATTTAAAAAATAATTCATCAGTGGGCGCCTGGGTGGCTCAGTTGTTAAGTGTCTGCCTTCGGCTCAAGTCATGATCCCAGGGTCCTGGGATCGAGCCTGGCACTGGGCTCCCTGCTCCGGGGGGAGCCTGCTTCTCCCTCTCCCACTCCCCCCTGCTTGTGTTCCCTCTCTCGCTGTCTCTGTCTCTCTCTCTGTGTCAAATAAATAAATAAAATCTTAACAAAAAGAAGGCTTTGCCTTTAAAAAAAAATTCATTAAAGTTCCTGATTATATACATACAGTGTGTGTATCAAAATCTACTAAACAAATTCTGCACCGCAGAGTTGGATTCAAATGTAGGAGATGCTCTGATGGAGATTCTTTTTCCCATTTTACAGGGAATTTTGTAATTCTTTCTGAGCTTTATTTTATGTGACTTTATATGCATTTTTAAAAATACAAATTTGAAAATGAAATAGAAGCATATTTGTTGTCACACTTTTAGACAGAGCCCAAATTTATTGATAATTTTATCCTCTTCTCCAAATTCTTGCTTCCTATCGCTACACTTACTTATAATCAAGATTCTGTTCAGCTACTTAAGTAGACCATGATGTTCACAGAAGCATAATAATAAACAAGTCACAGGGTCACAGTGCACTGAGCATTGTAAACAGACACTGTGAAATACTCTGATGGTTTTCAAGACCATTTGAGTAAGAGTTGCCTTTAATTATTTCCTTATGCTGAGAAAGAACAAGCTCTTTGAGTTTAAAGTTTAGTTCCTTTATTTAACTTTAGAAAAAGAAACTTCTGTTTCTCTTACTTGCTTTTTTACCCAAGCATAAATAAAAACCTAAAATTTGAACATAAGATACAGACTTTTGGTACCGAGGGCCTCTCTCATATTTACCCTTCATTTTGTTTTGTTTTTTCTCACATAGGCAAGAAATTGGTATACATTCCCATACCTTTTCTCTGCTTATTCATCCTCTCTGGCTAAATGGCAAATAAACTGAACATCTAAAATTACCTGAATTTATCCCTTTTGGCCACACCCAGCCCACTTTATGATCTCGTATTTCCCACCCAAATCTCATCCTTCAGACCTGTCCCACCCCTACTGTATTCTGCTTCATGTCTTCTTCCTCCTTCCTAATGCTGTGTCCAAACTGGTCTTCACAATGGTAATACCCTCCTCCATGTCAATCCATTTTTATTATCTCAAGACCAATTTTATTTATTTTTTTAAAGATTGTATGTATGTATGTATGTATTTTAGAGAGAGAGCGCAAGCAGTGGGAGAGGGAGAAGGAGAGAGAGAGAATCCCAAACAGACCACACTGAGCGCAGAGCCCAGAGCCAGGCTCCATCTCAGGACCCTGAGATCATGACCTGAGCCGAAACTAAGAGTTGGAGGTTCAACAGACTGAGCCACCCGGGTGCCCCTCAAGACCAATTCTAAAGTGTGCCTCCTCCAGGAAGCCAAAACTAGTGAAACTTTCTCGCTGGTGGCTATTTTACCCCTCGGCATACCATAGAATTCACTTAGGATCTAGAATCATTTCATAGAATATTTGATCTGTAAAGTACTCTAGGGCCTTGCTACTTAAAATGTGTTCAAGGACCATCATCATACACAGATATCACCTCAAGTTCTGCAAAAATGCAAATTTCAGCCCCAGCCTTAGACTTATTGAACTAGAATCTGCGCTTTAACAAGAACCTCAGGTAATTCAAATGTACATGAAAGTTTTAGAAGCACCGTCCTGGGGCATTGGTATTGTGCTAACTTACTTTCTTCTCTTCTGACGCATTTGTCCTGGCTTCCTAGTTAGATTTTATTTTTCTATGTATCGGGTCTCCTAAAACGAGAAAGAAAATATTGATAGAGTACATGGCCATAACTAAGATCTGAGTCTTAGCTGGAGATACTAAAACTGGAAGGGCTTCAAAAAGTAGGATTGAGAGCCCCTATTAGCCTAAATTTCTTTAAAGTTGGGGGGGGTGAGGGGAAATCTCCTAGTTTGGTGTGCCTCAAGGTAGGCACAGTTTTATACTTGTGTTCACGCAGGCAAAAAGCATGAGAAGAGAAAGGATAGACTCTGAGGGAATAGTGATCTGAGTGATCCATACGACAAAAATATTGTTTGTCAAGGGAAGTGTGCTTGTGTGTTTTTCTGTGTGTATGAGAAAGAGAAGCAGGCACAAGAAGAGGGAGAGACACTGACTGGAACTGAAAGTTATAGAACCTGAATTCTCTTTGTTTTATAGTTGGTAGAACCCTTAACTCCCAGTGGTACGGCGCCCAATCAAGCTCAACTTCGTATTTTGAAAGAAACTGAGCTCAAAAGAGTGAAAGTACTTGGCTCGGGTGCTTTTGGAACAGTCTATAAGGTCAGTAAAAAAATAACCCATACCACCAGTTGTTTTTTGTTTCAGACTTGTCTTAAATAATGGCCAGAGTTATTGCTCTAGCTAACCTAATTTCCTTTTAATATTCAGAGAGGAGAACCTGTATCGTATTGAGAAGTTGCTGCACCAATGAATTCATTCATTTTTATTGAGCAAGCTGGGATGGAAACTGGCATAGGAAAGCAAGAAACTGTCACAAAGAGCCACAGTATTCACTTTCCATGCCCTTGTGATCTGCTTTTGATAGCATCTCCCTGTTGGCAAATTTTGTCCTTATCTGAAATACACGGCTCTAGCCCATTCTCCTTCCCCCTACACAGTGCTCCATGGACTCGCAGACGGGCCTGAGCCATATGCCATAACCCTTGCTCTTCTTTTCTTCTGTCCTTTTATCCTCACCTCTCCCCATCAGGATGGCACTGCCTGTCTCCTTAGGATCTACACAAATGTGCTGATTTGTTAACAGGCTAGGATTAGTTCCTAAACCACTTTTTTGCCTACCTATTAACGGATATAATTTAGCAGAAAATTTTCAGTTTTGATGTCCTTATCATTATATGCAAACTAAAAAAGTGACTTTATTTGTGAAATTCAGGTTAGATAGAACGGAGGGTGAAATCATGGGTTTCCAATAAGAGAGATATTTTTGGAAAGGCAAAGTTCAGGTAATGTCATCTGCATGTTTACTTATTTAGCTTAGTTATAAAACTAATTCAGAGGCCAGGCCTAAGGTTAATTGTGGTGAGGTTTATTTTTAATGTAAGTAACAAGTATAAGAAACTCTGCTGGGTTAGTGCTAAATCCTTCTTGTAATGTCCATTGTGACAGTTCCCCAAATTTTACTTTGTGACAGTTTTATATATTTCTTAAAGCTATATGCAAGCCTGCAGTTTTTACAAACATTTCTGTTAAAATAGACTGGATCTTAGAAATTTTGCACTTTAAAATGTTCATTTTTTTCCTACTTAAAACAAATATTTATTTAACAAAAAATATTAACAATTAGAATATAAACCTTAATTTTCCATCCTGAGTGTTCCAAATATGATTTAATCTCTTTAAAATAAAATTATCTTATTCTAAGGCCAAAATATGGAAATTTCTTAATCTCTTAGTATGCATATTTTGTTCAGTTAAACTAAAAATTATTAATTCAGCACCTAATTTGAATAGAAACTATTCTAGACTGGCTTGGTGCTTTCTGGTCTTCAGATTCTTTGTATGTTTGAAGAAATACAACTTATCCTGTTTTTCTATTTATATTATGCTAGAAATGATGGACTTTCATTTCAAAGATAACTCAATTTTGGATTGTTCCTAGCATATAATCAGCCTTTTATTTTAAAGATGGTATTGTCTGGAAAGTGAATTTTATTTTAAATCATGGATACCATTTAGACATTTAATTATAAAGCTTTATAAATGTTTTTGTTATGAACAACTATTTACCTATTGTCCATGAGCATTGTACCTTTACTGAAATTACATGTATTGAAAGTTCCATATGTATGTTTGATTTTTATACTTACAGTGTGTTATGGTTGACCCTAAGTTTTAATTAATATATTAGTTCTTACCAAGGCATATTGCCTTAAACTATAAAGAAGTATCCTTGACCACAGAAATGCAAATTAGCTTAGGTAATTATTTGGTTGATTTTTCTCCTGGTTGGAGATATGCTGTGTTTAAGCATGAAAGATTTGAACCAATACCATGGGTATTAGTGTAGTTGAATTTTTGTCTGGTCAGACCTAGAAAATAATGACTATACTTATTTAAAAAGCAGTACAAATTAATTCACACTGAATTTATATCCTATTCCAAAAGTATACTTTGGGAATATTTTAACATTCATACTCTATAAAGTAACCCCCCTGTGGTTGCTTTATTGAATAATGGTAAGCCTTTCACTACCCTAGATACCATCACTAAGAAAATGTAGCCCGTGGATCTTGGGCTTCCCCTGCCCCCATTTCTATATTAATAATTTTAAAAAAATTATACTACAAGGAACTTGGCTTATTTTTTTGTATTTGACACATAGATTTCCCTATTCACTTTAAGAAGAACATAACTCTTAAATTCACCTTCTAATGGTTAAAGCCTTTTTTTCTGTATTTTTCTGACTTTTTAATAATTCTTGTGTTTAGGTCTCCTCATATTATTGTAACTTTCAGTAACACAAATATATGTTTTAGCATAGAAGTACAAAGTGAAAAACTTTTTTTTTTTTTTTTTTACTTTATGACTACAACCAACTGATATTAAGAAAAACTAGAGATATTCTCTTTAGGAATAAGAATTTTCCCCCCTTTCATTTTAATGTTAAAACTGGACTAAGAATACTTTTTTCGATGTCAGGACTAATAAATTAAAATTTGAGATTTTCTTCTGTATATATTTGGGACAATATGCTTTAAAAAAATTCTTATATAATTGATGCATCCCCCTATGTCTTATCAAAATTATTGTCTTAAATCAAATGGTTGAATTGTTTACTCCAGAATGTTGTCATTTACCTTAATGTTGTACTTGACTCAAGCTCTATCTACTTTATACTTTCCCAGTGTGTGGATCCTGTTCAGATATTATAATTATATTTTTGTAGGAAAAGAGAACTGGCAATGACCAGTATAGATATTTTATATTCAGAGATAATAAAATTCCTTGAAACACACATATATAATATTTGATAATAAAAACAAATTAATATGTGCTCAGTACTCCCTAGTACTTGCCTTTGAAAACTAATTCTTAAATAATCACCTTAGTAAACTAATTCTTAAATCAATCCAAACTTCAGGAACATGAGAATATGTATTTTTATTTGTTTTAGTTGCAGAATAATTAGATAATATTAAAGCTGAAAAGAACCTCCAACATTACTGAACCCAATCTTCTAAATTACAAATGAGACAATTGAAGATCAAAAATTTGAACAGTGTTCTCCAAGTCTTAAGAAGCTGATATATTGTTCAAATCTAATATTATTGTATCTTATTTCATTTTTGTCTCCATTAAAAGCCTTTTCCACACATACGAATTGACTTTTATAATAGCAATGCTTTATAAAATAATAGTAAACACCTTAAAAGCAGAATAAATACATGATTCATCTTCAGATAATGAAAGCGGACAGCAAAGTTGCTAAGTAACTTGTAACATACAACAGGTATTAGATAAATGTTTGTTGACTGAATAAAAGAATATAGAACCTCTAAATTATTTTTTAAGAAATTAATAGATTGAGTGGTTAAATCAAATTTTGTTTCTGGTATAAATTTGTATATCTTCATATAGATTTAATGTGATTTTTTTCCCCCAAAGGGTATTTGGGTACCTGAAGGAGAAACAGTAAAGATTCCTGTGGCTATTAAGATTCTTAATGAAACAACTGGTCCCAAAGCCAATGTGGAGTTCATGGATGTAAGTATAGATAGACACCAGGCAATCTCATTTTTATCCATTATTAATAGACTGCTTTTAGAATTAAAAAAAAAAAGACTTCACTACTTACAAAATTTCCTCTCTAGAAATGGTATACTCTATAATTAAAACCTTGAGCAGGGGTCAGCAAACTTTTGCTTGAAGGACCAGAGAATAAGTAGGCTTTTTGTGTGATGTGGTCTCTGTGGAAACTACTCAAGTCCATCCTTTTAAGTAGGTAAGCAGCCATAGACACTTAAAAACAAAACACAAGAATGGGCATGACTGTGTTCCAGTAAACTTTATTTATACCAACAAGCTGAAGGCTGAAGGTCTGCAAACCAAATCCTGCTCTCAAGGACTATGTATTTCAGCACTATGCAAAGAAAGGCAAATTGCATTTGGAGTAGGAATGATGATCTGAAAAATTAATTGGGCTGCTTTATTTTATTATTGTTATGGTCTACTTACCAGAAAACAGCAATCAAGATTAGTTTCTATAGTAAGTTAGTGTTAAATTTAAATTAGGAACCTACCTAAGTCAGACAATTACCAGTTGAAATTTACTTTTTTTCTAGTTCAAATTCAGAAGACAAACCTTATGGGTAATAAGTTCCAACTATAGAGAAATAAGAGAGTTCTGAAGAATAAAAATACTTTATAAGGTCAATCAGAACTTTAAGATTTCCCCTAGCAAAAATTGTAGATTGAGCTGTTCAGCAAATTTCAGAAGGTAGGACAGATAAAATATCTATGTAGTATGCTGTTATTTTTTTTCACATTCAACACAAGGTATCTTGCCAGGGGTTCTATCAAAGACCCATATAGATACTCTTTCTCGTTTAGCATAATGTCTTCAATAATAAGAATGATTTTGATTTTCAAATGACCTTCATATGAAAGATGATGCAAGCATATGCACTTTAAATATGGATTGCTATATATTTCTACACAGTTTCTCTCGTAAGCTCTTTTGTAAGTTGATGGTGGATAATTTACTTGTGTAAAATGCTTACTCTCTTATATAGGGCTGCTTTTAGTTCAGCAACGTATTGGTTATTAGATAATAGGGCTGATAATTAACTGGTACAAACCAGCTGCTCTGATCAGTTGGTCCTGCACCTTACTAGTTGCTAAATATTTTGAATACCACCCTTACTTATCTACCAACACCTGACAGATACTGAATCCAGTAACTAAATGGTGTTTCCTTCTGTAGGTGCCTAAAAGTTCTGACACTCTGCAGCTACATGTCCTGGCTCATGTAGTAAAATGTAAAACTGAAGTCTTTTTCAGTGATGTCACAATCAATTTGATCTTGATTATAGGTATATAGTTGTGAAGGGAATTTTCTAAGTAAAAATAAAGAAGAAAAGGACAATGAATATAAACAGTGTATGCTAATATGTAAAACTGATTAAAAAAAAAAAAAAAAAAAGATCTTGACCAGCCTAGACTGCAGCCAAAGCTGCACAAGATGCTAAGAATGCTAAGAATGCTAATAATCTCTGCTGGAGGCTTGGACAGCCATTTTTGTCATATTTCCATGGAAACAGACTGGCAAAAAGGGGTTAAGAGGCTACAAAATAATCACCTAAGAAAGAAGCTCTAAAAGCTTCATCATGATTTTGAATGATAATTTGAAAGCTCCTAACCCCATCCAATTTTTTTTTTCCTGATCTGAAGTCTATTCCCATGGAAACAGGAGTGGGGATGGCAGCTTGAAATCTTAGAATCTACTGAACTTTAGATGAGGCTCTGATTGAGCCATGAAAGGGGTCATTTTCCTAAATGTTGATAAATCTGGTGACCAACAAACTCCAAACAGTATGTTCTTTTTAAAAGTTAAAAAAATATTAAGGAAAATATTTTGACTGAGCTTCTCTTACCTCGTGGATAGATGCTAGAAGATTAATAGATTGGTAGACTGCTATTGGCAATTTCAATAAATACTAAGCAGAAACACCTCTTACTATTTTCAGAACTTCTTTCAAAAAACATTAGTATGGCATCACAGTAATTAAAATACAGTTGCACTGGCAAAATTAATGATAAATTCAGTATTTTAAACAGGCTGGTGTAATTTTAATGCAAAATTACCTACATTTCATACCAACACTTTTAGCTCATCTACTATGTGTATAAATCATTATAAGTAATTAAATAACATATCAAACTGCAACAAAAAGCTTCATGTATGCCAATTTATTTGTAATTTGGACCTAAGAATTAAGTTGAAGTTGCTAATATCCCCAAGGTTATTAAGATAAAAGTCTTATTTGACATATCTCTTCCATAAGGTAGAGTATTCCAAGTTTAACTTTCAAACTAAAATAACATCTACTGCAATCATGCTACCTGTCTCTTTTGCAAACTAGAGTATGTATATATTTGTTTATATGCAAATGTTTTATACCATTTTAAAGAAAGAAAATAAAGCTTCTGAAGATAATAGAAACTGCATACTCTTATTAAACATTAGATCTCTTTGCCCCACCCTACCCCACAGCATGCAACTTTATACTTGGGGTAGAATATTCTACTACTACTACTAAGTTTATTAGATGTAGCTATGTGTTACTGGTTATTTTAATAAATGACAAAATTCAACAACTTAAAAATCACTAAACCCAATATTTCTATTGATATCCAGGGGCACAGGAGATGACTTTTATGTTTTCTTAGAATTTTACCATAGGCAAAAATAAATAAGGAACAATTTGTATTCTATTAAATGCTATGCTAAAAGTAGGAGAGGAGAATTTGGTCACAAGGCTGTAATTCAACTCACCTGAATATGTCTAATGGATTCATAATGACAATAATAACACACAGCTACTGAATGGCCAGTATGTCCTTAATTCCCATAAAGGAAGATCACATTGGACAACATTAAGAAAATGGCCCTAAAGGTCCACCTTCTTAAGAAAAATATCTACATTTATACACACTTCTAGTTTTTGTTTCAAATAGCACCATTTCATTGGAAGAACACAGGGTTTTTGTTTTGTTTTGTCTTGTCTTTTGTGTTTTGTTTTGTTTTTATCCTTCAAATGGTATAGAATACATACTTAAAAAATGTGGCTATTGAGCAAGATTCCTGGAATTGGGGACCATGGTCTGGTCAAATCAGACAGACTCCAGTTTGTCTGAATTTCTACTACTCTTGCTTTGTTGTTGTTGTCGTTTTTCTCTGATATTTAAGCCCACTATCACTTGACGTTATTCTATATGCCTTGGAAGTGTATATGTATTTAAATGTTTTATTAATTTATTTGTTTTCTTAAAAAAATCTTGAGATAAAAAAATATAATTATCCTAAATTCCAGTGACTGAATATAATACTTCAGCTTAGTGCTCCAGTTTGTTGGCTTTAGCGTCAGCTTCCCCACACCAAATCAACCACCTAGTTCCCAGAAAGGTGCTCCAAGGAAATGTTTCAAACCGCCCAGACTTACTGTTTAAATAGTTGTATTTTTAGTAAAAGAAGAACTTGTTGTTCTCTCCCTATACAATGGGAAAATTTATTTATCTTACACAATTATTTTACTATTTTCAGAAGAAATGTCCATGTGAATTGCGCTTACCTGTTGCTCTTCATTGTACTGCCTTTATGATATTCAATGACTTTTTTTTTATTGTATTGATTCATTTTTTTTTTGAGAGAGAGAGAGAGAGGGAGAGAGAAAGCCAGCATGTGAGCAGTCAGAGAGGGGCAGAGGGAGAGGAGAGAGAATCCTAAGCAGGCTCCATGCTCAGCTCAGTGTGGAGCCAGATGTGGGGCTCGATCTCATGACCATGAGATCACGACCATGAGATCATGACCTGAGCAGAAACCAAGAGTCAGATGCTTAACTGACTGAGCCACCCAGGTGCCCCCATGATATTCAGTGTCTTAATAAGAGTTGTTCCAACTCTAATTGATATATTAATGGAGTGAGACAAAAGAATTTATTAATAGAGTTTATATTTCCTCTCAGATTATAGCAGACTTACAAAATTAGTTGACAAGATGTTTTGTTCAATAACATTAATTTCACATTATAAAAATAACGTTTTTTATGCCTATGACTTCACAGAGCTAACAGTAACTCTTAGCTAGATCCTGTAACATACTAATAGTGAATTTTTAAAAATTCATATAATTTAATCCAATGATATCTTTAGGTCTTACACATTTTGCTCATTTGCATACATGAATACAATTAATCAATTTCAGAGGTAAAAATAAAATACAAAATTCCTTTTTTAAAAAAGCCCATTACTTAGAAGTCAAAGGATTCTATACCACTGCCATGATCTTGAGAAGTCAGTTATAAACAACTCTTTTTTCCTTAAGAGAAATTATAGCTAAAATAAGGAAAGTTTTGGGTAGTTACTTTGCTTTTAAAAATCAAACAATATCTTCAAAAAGAGGTTCTATAAACTCCATTAGAAACAGAAATTAGTCTTTCAAACCTCTCCTAAAAAGAAAAGAAAAGAAAAGAAAAGGAAGGAAAGAAAAGACAAGTTAAGAAAAAAGAAATTTACCAGTAAGTGAAGTAAATCATTTCTGTTAGAGTTTATTCCATTAAGCCTTGTTTATGTCCTGTTAACTGTATAGAACTTGATTAGAAACGGCATCACATCTGAAATCACGATTTCAAACACCCCATCCTCCAACCACATTCTCCTGCCCCTCTGGTTCTTTTCCTATTATACATACTTGAGGAACTTTTTACTCTTTTAGATATCACTCATATATCTTTTTTTTAAAGATTTTATTTATTTATTTGAGAGAGAGAGAATGAGAGATAGAGAGCATGAGAGGGAAGAGGGTCAGAGGGAGAAGCAGAGCTGAACAGGGACCCCGATGCGGGACTCGATCCTGGGACTCCAGGATCATGACCTGAGCCGAAGGCAGTCGCTTAACCAACTGAGCCACCCAGGCGCCCACTCATATATCAACTCTTCTGTTTCTCACTGCCTCTCAGCTGCCCCTTCCCTCACATCCCTCCTCA